CACCTCAAGGAGGATGCAGCCATGCCAGGAAGCCCATCCTGCAGGCACCTCACAACAAAATGCCATCTGGGCTTCCAGCAAAGCCAAGCCGTTGCTAAGTTGAGTTAGATTCACACAGGCGCCTCATGGAAATTTCCCAGAGCACTGCTGTGTCATCCCAGGGATGCTCCCAGCGCGGCTCACAAAGGGTTAACTCCAGGTCGCCAGGGGCTCTGGGAATGGGAGTGCTGGGTCTCAGGAGAGAGCTGGAATGTTAAGAGTCAGCTCACCAGTTCAATCCAGCCAGCAAGCCAGGGAGTACCCCAGGGATTTTTGTAGGTCACTGCTGAGCCCCATCACCACAGGGATGGCAGAGCAGTGCCAGGGACACCAGACTGGTGGGGGCTCACCTGGACCAGGTGAGTGGGGCACTCGGCGTGGCCAGGCCCTGCTGCTCAGCAGCAGCCTGTCTGCCCCTTCCTTGGCACACTGTGTGCATGGGGTGAGTGGAGCCCCTTCCCCAGTCACAGAGTCCAGAACACTTGAAGGGTCTCCTTCAAGGCCCCACAAAGTGAGGAGCCATGAAGAGCCCCCTCCTCACCTCAGCCCACTCCTCTTTCCTCTCCACAGCACAGAAGGTGAATGGCTGAGGCCACAGAGACCCCAGGGTTTCATTCTGCCCTGCATGTTGCTGTGTCCAGCAGCAGCCAAAGGCTTCCTCAGGAACGAGGCACTGGCATATCCTGCTGGGCCCACCTGGCACGGTGTTCCGTGCCCCAGTGGCCCTGCTTCCAGCCCTGGCTGTGCTGTCCACACCCAAAGATCCTCCTCTCAGAGACATCAGTTGCCCAGATGATCTCCAAGGTACAGACCAGAACTGCCCCATCCTGAGCACACCTGGCTGGAGCATCTGGGAGAGACACAAAAGCTGGAGGGAGAAACACATGAAGGTGAGACATTCACCATCATGCACAGGCTTCCAGGACTGCCCTTCCCAGCCTCCTGCACTACCTCCTGCCCATACACAGAGTAAGAGAAGGGACTCACAGGACAGGGGGATGAGAGCTTCTCCCCCAGTTCACACTGGGAGAAAGCAAGGAGCAGAGGGAAGCCAGGAACCAAAGTCATAAAGCACAAGCACAGGCCGGGCTGCGCAGTGCCACACGTGGGCTGCCAGGCTCTATTTTAAATGCTGTGTGGCAAATATATGCAGGATGGAATCCAAGCTGGGGGAAGGGGAGGGTGCTGGGCAGCAGAGGTGTTCAAAATTAGGAGCTGAGCTCAGGCAAGGATGGCTTCTGGGAGCAGATGGGGGAAGAGCCAGAGCTGGGACTGTGCAGCTGCAACGCGAGGAAGAACAGCCCCGTGGTGAGGTGTGAGGAAGGCTGTGCCCTGCTACCCTCCTGGCAAGGCAGGGACTGCAAGAGAGCTGCAACAACTGGGGTAGCTGCAAGAAGAGCCTGGCTTCTTCTGTGGCACAGAGACCTCTGTCCCAGCTCCTGGCACGAGAGTCACCCCAAAGACACCTCAGTGCTCAGTGTATTTACAGCAGCTGCTGCTGGCTGATCTGGCACAGCAACAAAGAGGAATTGATTCACCTGCCTTTCCCAAGTGGGGAAGGTGAGGGAGTTGGGGAGACCTGGCAGAGCCCCAGGCTGAGCCCTGAAAACCTCCACACCTGTAAAACAGGCTTGATTCATCTGGATCGACCCTGAAAAAGCTGCTACCATCTCCCTGTGCTTCGTAAGATGTTCCCAACCAACACCCCAGCATGCGGGCGCAGCGCGAGGCTCTGATGGGAGCTGGCAGATCTGGGATGGTACCTGCCCTACATTTCCAGAGCCGTCAGGTTGACAGAATGAGCAAGTTTTTATATAGATTCTAGTGGCAGCGGTTTTCTTCACCAGCGGCTGGAGGGGCGGGGGGAAGGAAAGGAGATGGAAAATATTTTTGTTTAAGCTCTTTTCTGCATTCCTGCTGCCAGAGTTGTGCATTACTCATGCGCCCCTCGTACCCAGGCTGGTAGCTCTGGGTTTTGCTCAGAAGGAAGGGGCTGTGGAGAATTAAGCAGTTGGTTAAATTATTAATAGTCTGTCGGGGGGTGCCCGCCCGGCCCCCACTGCCTTTCCGGGGGCTCCAGTGCCCCCCAGAGGCATTGAAACCAACTACAGCGCCCTGACAGACCCGCGGGCTCCTCTGCCCTACTTCAAGCCCGCAGACACCCCACTCTCCTGGCCTGGAAACCACCAGACTCCTGCCACTGGGACGGGGCCTGCAGCACCTGGCCTCACCCACCACGAGTCTGAACTGGGCAGGCACTGGGGGCTGCAGGTGTTCCACCCCACCAGCGAGTGTGGGGTGGTGGGAGCAGTAAGAGAAGAGGGAGAAGAGCCCATTGGGGAGGGCAGAAGTTGCAGTGGCAGCTCTGTGCAGCAGAAGGCACCTTCTATTCGTGGCAGCACCCAGGGGAGAGCTGCCACGCATGGCTTGGTGCTCAATGCCAAGGCTGCAGGCTGTGAAACAGCACCTGAGTGTCTGAGGTCTGACAGGGGCCAAGCTGCAGCAGTGCCAGGACACACTCAGAGGGTGGCGCATGCAAGGGTTGAGTTTTAACCAGGCTCTCACCAGACACAGCAGAAACCATCCCTCTTGGCTCCACCACACTTGCTGTCAGACCAATCCTGCTCTCACACGAGCTCCCACCTTCCTTCCTGATCCCTCCAGTTTCCTCCCTGCAGCCCTGACGTTTGTTTCAAGCAGCTGAACTCTCCTCACATCAGCTGCTGCCCCACAACCAAAGTCCTGAGGTGAAACTCCTCGGGGCAAACCACAGCAAACGTGGCCTGCACAGGGACATGAGCAGCTGGCACTCAGCCCAGCCCAGCTCCCTCTGCTCACAGCTTCATCTCCAACCTCTCCCTCTCTTCTCCACTGGGAGAGAGCTGGGCTGGACACACCCAGGCCTCTCTGTGCACTCTGGCACTTGCAATTTTGCTTGCTAATTTTGACTTGCTAATTTTGCTCAGGGATCGGGGTCAGACTGGCAGCCCCAGAGACAATCCACCTTTACCAAGGGAGCTCCACCACACACATTGCAGATTATTTCATTTTTGCCTTCTGGCTTATCTTTATCCCGTGGGATACACATCAGTTACACATAAGTCCTTTCTCCTCCTCCCACTGGGCCATGTGACTCCCCAGGCACCTTGCTGGTCCCGTTTCCCCCTCCCCTAATGGTGCCCACCCCAAGGCTCTTCCCCAACACAGAGCTCAGGCTCTCCTCCAACACGGCCTCCAGCCAAGGCTGCAGACCCTGACTCCACCATTGTCCTAGAATAATGGAATCGTGGAATACCCTGAGCTGGAAGGCACCCACGAGGATCACTGAGTCCAGCTCCTGCCCTTGCACAGGACAACCTCAACAATGCCACCATTTGCCCGAGAGCATTGTCCAAATGCTCCTTGAGCTCTGGCAGCCTTGAAGCCGTGACCATGGAGCCTGTTTGAGTGCCCAACCACCTCCTGGGAGAAGAACCAAACCTCTCCACTCCTGCCACTTATCATTCCACTGTTCCCAAGATTTTGTTCACCACACTGTCCTTTCCATATGCCAAGGCATATGGAATATGCCCCAAAGTCTGAGCTCTGAATTCTCTCTGCCCCTCAGGGGCATCAGCCATCCCAGTCCTTACAGGATTTGGGGTTCTTCCAGTGGTCCACTTCTTCTGGCAGCTTGCTCTTCCCAAAGACATGTCCAAAACTGGCTGGGAGGAGGGATCACCAGCCCAAGCTTCCCTCTCACCAAGCAGTGGGACAGCAGGACAAGGCACAGCAAAGCCCCACGTATGGTCAGGATTGTGGTGGTGATCAGAGAGGGTCAGCACAGCCATCACAAGGCTCTGACCACAAAACACACCAGGGAGGGGAGCAGGAGATGGGATCTGCACAGCCAGCTCACAGCATCGCTCCCCCGACCTGGTCAGCAAAGAAACACAGGAGTTTGAGCCTCAGTGAGGCATCAGGACCCTGAGTAAGGGCTGGGCAGCTCTGACTTGGCTCAGGTCAAGGTGATGCCAGGGAAGGATGAGTGAAGCCTGTCCAGGACCTGCATTCAGGTACACGGTTCAGAGAGGCCATGCTGGCCCTCCACAGCTCACACCTTGCTGCTCAGCAGAGCCAGACTGCAAGTGTCCCAGGAGCTGTGGAAGGACTTTGACACAAAGACATCACTGCACAAATGGAGGCTGCTTGGCACTGCTGGAAAGCCACCAAGCCCAGCTAAAGAGAAAACTCTGCAGCACTTGCTTGTTCTTCAAAGCTGGCCCTGCTCTGAGCCAAGGGCTGGGCCAGAGAGCTCCAGAGGGCTCCAAACTCCTTTGGCTGCTGCAGGCCCCTGTCACACAGGCAGTTCTGCCAGCACCACCTCACAGGTACTGCAGGTACCTGTGCACACTCCCAGGTGTTGCAGGTACCTATGCACACTCCCAGCACCAACTCCCAGGTGTTGCAGGTACCTGTGCACACTCCCAGCACCAAATCACAGGTACTGCAGGTACCTGTGCACACTCCCAGGTGTTGCAGGTACCTGTGCACACTCCCATACAGCTTCTGGGATGTCTCCCAGCATGCCAGGGAGTCCAGCACTAACAAAAAGGTTGCAGGCTGGTGCCAGGACTTCCTCGTGAGCTTTAGCAGGTGCCAGAAAAGGGACAGTGCACACCATAACCAGTTTGTGGAGGAGCTGCATGGCCCAGCCCCGCTCTGTTGGGCCACATACAGGATATGTCACTTCCCCTGCTCAGAGCAGAGTGGGAAACCCTGAACCACCCACAGGACAACAACTGCTGCCCTCCTGTGGGGAGCCACACAACGCCTGCAAGGGAAATCCTCACAGCCTCCTGAAGGAAGTGCCTGCAGAGGAAGGCCAAAACCCAAAAAGGGCTGTGCAGGGAACAGTGGATACCCTGCCCACGGCTTTGCCTCCCCTCCCCAGGAGCACGAAGAAAGTGAGAGACCCTTACGTGGGCAGCTCTGCGGGGGCAGCAGCCCCTGGAGGCTCCACTGACTCTGGGCTGGGGGCTGCAGCACCGGGGGCTGCAGCAGATTCCTGCGTGCCCGCAGCTTCCCCGGCATCTGCGGCTGGGATGTGCTCCGTTGTCTCCACCTCAATCTCCTGAGCTGCAGGACACAGCTTCACCCTCTCAGCGGCTGCGGCTGCCTCCTCCTCCTCCTCCTTCTTCCTCAGCTTGGCCTCCAGCTCGCGGCGCCTCTTCTCGTCGTCCTGCCTGGCCATGCGTTCGAACACCCGGAATGCCTGCCAGGGAAAGAGCACGGCCAGTCAGTGTTGTGGTGCAGGATTCATTTGGTGTGTTCTGTTACCCCCTAAAGCTATAATGGTTCGGTCCTGGGATCCCCCTCTCCCCCTCCCCTGGAACCTCTCTCTCTGAGGGTGTCAATTCGTTCTCTCCTCCCCTGTTTCCCTGGTTACCTTCTGTCAATCCCTCCCCAAGTTCCTGTCCATCACCCACTATCTCCTTCCCTTATTCCAGAAAGGTCTCCTTTCTTCGGTGGGTGATTGGATCGGGAACAAGGGTCCCTCCCTGTCACATTCCCTACTGGCTAGCCGGCATGTTTCTCACGAGTTTGTTCACTCCCCAATTCTCTTTCATTGGTCGATGTGTTGTGTTCCCACCCCCTTTATAAGCTGCTGTTTTCCCTGACTCGTGGTCCCTGCTCGGCTGGTGCACTGGAGTAATAAAAGGCTCTGGATTTTACCCCCATGGAGGGACCCTCCCTTCTTTCTTCTACTTCGCCTGCCTGCTGCTCCCTGCTGCCCCTTGCTGAGGCGCTCCCGGGACGCCCCGGCGCATCTAGGGAGTGCCCCCCCCGGCTGTCGGCTGCCGTGCCTTCAGCTCAGCCGGTGCGCCCGCCTCCCTGCCCGGGGGAGGAGAGAAACTCGGACAGCAGCACAGCAAGTCAGCAGCACCCCAGCTCTGCCACAGCAGCAAAGGAGCAGCACAGCACCCTTGGGCACCTGCTGCTTCCTGCCCTTCCTCTCTGCGCCACGCAGCTGCCCCGAGCTGCTCCAGTCACCGCAAAAACAGCTGATGACTCCCAACGGCTGCGTCAGGCGCACCTCAGAAACGCCTGGGAGCACTTTGGAATTGTTTCTAGCATTGTGTTCTCAGAGCCAACCTCAGCCCAGCCTGGGAAGAGGGCTGGTTACTCCAGGGAAAAGCAGAGTGGTGAGATTCAGCTCTTGGCTGGGAGGGGGTTCTGAGACAGCCCCTCCTTACCCCACATTGCGCAGGGCTCACCCAGGGACCATCCGCAAGCCTGGACTCAGACAAAGCCTCCAGCAGGCAAGCAGGATGAGCTGCCCCAGGAGAAGCTGCAGGACAGCTGAGCTGGCACTGGCTGTGCCCAAAGAGACAGGTGCAGGAGAAGATGTGATCCCAGGAGATGCAATCCTACCCCTCACCTTGGCCTCCAGCCAAGCCTGTCCAGTGCAGGCTGCAGGTCAGGCGTGAAGCCCACAGCTGCAGCGAGGGGTGATGGCCACTCACACCCTGCATCCTCTTCCTCAACGGGCTGCCACCCCACTGCCAGGCTCTGGCACTCCAAACATGCTCCAAAAAGTGTGCAAGCAGCCAACACAGCCCTCCTTCACTTCCCAGGAATGTTTTGGAGGCAGATTTAGTGCTTCCAGCAGTGGACTGGCACAGCTGCCCCATTTGAGTCTTGCCCAGGGTCCAGGAAGGGCAGGACAAAGGACATGGCCCAGGGAGGGCTCCTGCCAGCACAGCCACAACAGGACAGGAGCCACTCACCCCACTGTCCTCCCCACGCAGTGAGCACAGGGCAGGGCGTGGCAGAGGTGAGTACCTGCGTGGATCACACAAAACAACACCTCACAACTGTGTCAGCTGCAGCTGAGCGAGGATGAGGAGGAAAGAGCCCCTTCCACACCGTCCCCACCCTCTGGGTGCCTCCGGTGGCAGCCACGAGGCCGCCCTAACGCCTTCCCATGGCAGGAACGCTGCGCCTCCTGCACTGTGCCCAGCGCCAAAGCTCTCGAGGGGACACCGGACAGGAACCCGAGCTCGGGCAAGCTCCGAGCGGATGTCACAGCCCGGCTCTTCCCTCTCCTCATCTCCTTACGCGGGTGGCGCTTTCCCCCGCTTCAAGGGACCTCTCCTGCCTTCCTCTGCGCTCCTCCAGGCAGCGCCGGTGCCCCGGGGGCTGCTGCGCTGCCCCCCCGCTCCGCCCGGTGCTAACCCCGCCGCCGGCGCCACACGAACACCGCCCAGCCGGGGAGACACGGCCCGTGCGGCTCGGCCCCGCGGCAGCGACAGCCCGGGCCGCCGGCGAGGCCAGGCCGCGCCATCCCCCCGGGCGCCGCAGGGCCATGGCCTGCGCCGCGCCGGGCGGGAAGCCCAGGCGGTCCCCGGGCCGCAGAAGGAGCCGATAGAAGTCGGTCTTGCGGTAGAGGAAGCCGAAGAGGATGCGCAGGAACTCCTCCACGTTGCCGACATGCTGCAGGATGCCCAGCAGCGCCTGGTCGTACATGTCAGTGAGCGCGGCCTCCATGGCGGCCCGGGGCCCGCTGTCACGGCAACGGGTTCGACCGCACTTCCGGTCCGCCCGGAACCCGCCTCGCGCACTTCTATTCCGGCCGCCCGGGAGGCCCCTCCCGCCCGCCGAGCGTTCCAAGGCCCTCCCGGCCCCCCGGTGGCTCCGCTGCGGCCTCCAGGCGCCTCCCGGCAGCAGCAGCGCACGCCCAGACCCCGCGCCCGCGCGTCCCCGGTGTCCCACTGCCCGGACCCTCCGTGTCCCCCGTGCCCCGGCCTCCCCCTCCCCTCGCCATTCCCCGCTCTGCCCCGCGGGGGGCGGCTGCCGCTCCCGCTCCGCGCCTGCAGGTGGCGCCCGAGCCACGCCGCCGCCGCTCGGGGGCGGGGACAGGACCGGGCGCGGCACCGGAAGCGGCACCGGAAGCGGAAGCGGCCCCGGCGGCTCTCGGGCGCTGCGTTCGGGGCTGGGGGAGCTCCCGAGTCGTCCTCGCTCCGGCCCCGCTCTCTGGCGCGGTGACCCCGGCCGCTGTGCCCCCCGGGCCGCTCCTCGGCTGTGCACGCAGCTCCTGGGGCGCACCGTGCCGGAGCTCCCCGCGCCAGCAGCGATCCCATCGGCTGCGCCCCGTGGCCGGCTCGGTCGGGGCTGCGGCCCTGCAGTGACCCCGCGCTGCAGCGTCCCCCGCCAGTCCCCTCTCGGTGCCGTGCCCGGATGGTGCCAGCCCTTTGTCGCCGGTCGCACGAGGTCGGTCAGGCAGGAGCTGCCCCGGTGAAGCTGTCCCGGGTCACTGGTGCCCTGCCGGGCCCTCAGCAGAGCTCCCGGGAGCTGTTCCCTCATCTCCCCAGGCCTGGGGCTGAGCTGGCAGTTCCCAGAGCCAGAAAAGAAATCCCGGTCATTCAGTCGTTATTTTTCAGCCATAGATCCTGTTCACGAACATTTTAATGTCTGTAGTAACGCTGGAACAGCATACTTTGCTATGTGCTGCAGATGATTTTCAGGTTATTTACAAGTTTAGCAGAGGGTAGCCCTCAGCAGAGCTCCCAGGAGGAGCTGTTCCCTCATCTCCCCAGGTGAGGGGCTGAGCTGGCAGTTCCCAGAGCCTAGACATTTATTTTCAGTCACAGAAAAGAAATCCCAGTCATTCTTCTTCAGGCATAGATCCTGCCGTGAACATTTTAATATCTGTAGTAACGCTGCAACAGCATACTTTGTGCTGCGTTTACAACCCTGCAGGCGATTTTCAGGTTGTTTATAAGTTCAGCAGAGGGTAGCCCAGGGCAGTGGCACGGTGGGCAGCAAAGGTGGGTGGTGAAGGAGCAGCTGCACGGTGCCCCCAGCCCTGGGGGTGGGTCTGTGCTGGGCAGGGGGAGCTCGGGGGTCCCCACAGAGCTGGCCTGCACTGCAGACCTGTAGCCATGATATTTTATGAAAAATCCTTTGCTGGGATTTTTCCCCTCCTGAGGAGCTGAGGGCCTCAGGAAAGAAATGAAAACAATAACTGTCTGCTGCTGTGGAATGCAACAGGTGCAGCTGTGTTTGGTGCATATTGGTTGTTTCTAATTAAGAGCCAACCACAGATGCAGCTGCATCGGACTCTGAGAGTCACAAGATTTTGTTATGCATTCTATTCTTGTTCTTTCTAGCCTTCTGATCAATCTTTTCTCTCTGTTCTTTTAGTAGAATTTTAATGTAGTATTTTAATATAATATAATAATAAACCAACTTTCTGAGAATGGAGTCAAGCCTGGTGTCTGCACACGTGGGGTGTTCTCAGCACAGACCCCCAGCCCTGTGCCAGCCTGGGGTGCTGGGCCAGGCACGGCTGCCGTGGGTGCTGCTGGGCCGGGGGGTGGGCAGCACATCAGGCAGGACACCAGGGCAGAGGCAGCCCCAGGGAATTCTCTGTGCCTGCAGGGAGGAGGTGCACTAAAATCTGGGAGGGGGAATGGCTGTGCCAGCTGAGCTGGCCAAGGGGACACTCTGTGCCATGAGCCTCGTGCCCAGTGTGGGGAGTCACCCAGGGCTCTGGGGGCTGGCTTGGCATTGGTGCTGAGCAGCTGTAAGGTGCATCACTTGTTTTCTTTGTGTTCTCTCCCTCTCACCAAGTCCTTTATTATTATCATCATTATTATCATAATCATCATTATTATTATTAAATAATAATATTGTTAATATTTGTTGGTTATTATTATTGGTTGTTATTAATGGGGGGGTTGTTTTGGGGTTTTTTTTCGTTTTTTTTGGGTTTTTTTTTGTTTTGGTTTTTTGGGGTTTTTGTTTTGTTTTGTTTTTTATTTTTTGGGTGTTTTTGTTTGTTTTTTGGTTTTTGGGTTTGGTTTTTTTTTTGTTTTGGTTTGGGTTTTTTTTTTTTTTTTTTGTTGTTTTTTTTTTTTTTTTTGTTTGTTTGGTTTGGGTTTTTTTTACTGTATTTCAATTATTAAACTGTGTTAATCTCAGCCCACAAGTTCTGTTTCCTTTGTTTTCCTGGCTGTGCTCCTTACTCCACGAGGGGCAAAGTGAGCGAACAGCTTCACGTGCCAGCTGTCAGTCCTTTCTGATGACTGCTGTGGGGCACCAGGGGTTTGAGATGATTCCCAGCTGCCGGCTCCTGACTCCTCCAAGGGAACTCTGGAAGCCTTTGGTCCATGCTCAGGGCAGGTCCACACCAGCCTGATACCCTCAGGAGCACTGGGATTTGCTCTGGGCACAGGTGAAGTCCTAGGGAATCTCTGCAGAGTTTTCCAAACCCTGCCTGTGCTGGGGAATCCTGAATCTGGTGGCTCTGCCTGGCAGCTGGGGAGCATTCGTGCCCGCCGTGGAGATGGCAGAATGTGCTGGCAGAAGCCCCATGAGGTCACAAAGACCCTGTGGAGCTGCAGAGGCAGGCCCTGCAGCGCTGCAGTGCAGCTTGCTGTCACGGCTGCAGCATGGGCCAGGCGCGCTGGGCCCTGACTCTCGCCCTGCTCCTGGCGGCCCTGCCAGCCCGGCGCGCTGGGGCTGCTCCGTGGCACGCACAGGCCCTGGGTGGGTGGCAGCTGGATCTGTGGAGCCCCACGAGCAGCAGTGGCACAGAATGGCCCTGGCACTGTCAGGCCACAGCTGTCTGCCAGTGGCTCAGAATTCTCCTGCCTCTCCCTCAGGCCACAGCTGCTCTGCCAGTGGCTCAGAATTCTCCTGACTCTCCCTCAGGCCACAGCTGCTCTGCCAGTGCTCAGAATTCTCCTGACTCTCCTTCAAGTCACAGCTGCTCTGTGGAGCCCCATGAGCAGCAGTGGCTCAGAATTGCCCTGGCACTGTCAGGCCACAGCTGCTCTGCCAGTGGCTCAGGATTCTCCTGACTCTCCCTCAGGCCACAGCTGTCTGCCAGTGGCTCAGAATTCTCTTGACTCTCCTTCAAGTCACAGCTGCTCTGTGGAGCCCCATGAGCCGCAGTGGCTCAGAATTGCCCTGGCACTGTCAGGCCACAGCTGCTCTGCCAGTGGCTCAGGATTCTCCTGACTCTCCTTCAGGCCACAGCTGCTCTGTGGAACCCCATGAGGCCACAGCTGCTCTGCCAGTGGCTCAGGATTCTCCTGACTCTCCTGCTCTGCCAGTGGCTCAGGATTCTCCTGACTCTCCCTCAGGCCACAGCTGCTCTGTGGATCCCCATGAGTAGCAGTGGCTCAGGGTTCCACTTACACTCCCTCAGGCCACAGCTGCTCTGCCAGAGGCTCAGGATTCTCCTGACTCTTCCTCAGGCCACAGCTGCTCTGCCAGAGGCTCAGGATTCTCCTGACTCTTCCTCAGGCCACAGCTGCTCTGCCAGAGGCTCAGGATTCTCCTGACTCTCCTTCAGGCCACAGCTGGTCTGTGGAACCCCATGAGCAGTACGGGCTCAGGGTTCCACTTACACACCCTCAGGCCACAGCTGCTCTGTGGAGGACCACGAGCAGCAGTGGCTCAGAATTGCCCGGGCACTGTCAGGCCACAGCTGCTATGCCAGTGGCTCGGGGTTCCCCTGACTCTCCCTCAGGCCACAGCTGCTCTGTGGAGCCCCACAAGCAGCAGAGGTTCAGAATTCCCCTGACTCTCTGTCTGTCTCTCTGTCTGTCTCTCTGTCTCTCTCTCTGTCTCCGCAGCGCCGGAGCACCAGGCCGCGCAGGAGGAGGAGGAGGAGGCGCCTCAGGAAGGCCATGAGGCAGTGCCAGGCCCCGGGGAGAGCACCAGGGCCTTCCCCCCCGCAGGTGTGTGGGTGATCACCGTCCTTTGGCCGATCAGCACCGCTGGCTGCCAGCCCTGCCCCGTGCCACGCTGCCAGGGTGGCTCTGGGGGACTGTCACCTCGGGCTGTGGCTGTCACTATCCCAAGGACGAGCGCTCGGACGCTCTGTGGGTGCAGCAAGATGCTCTCCACCTCTCACACTCCGTTTTCAGGGATTTCAGAACTTTGCTCTGTTGGGAATGAGGCCACCTGGACACCCCGCAGCAAATGATGGGAAATGTGGCTCTGGATTTAATGTCCCTGCATCCCAGGCCTTGCTGTGAGACCCCAGGGGCCCTAACTCAACAGAGGTGGATCCCTCCTCAGAACTGGGACCCAAAGGGGTTTTGTCCCTCTCACTCCAAGGGTGGATTGGTCAGACAGCTGTGCTCCCCCCATGCTCCCTGTGCAGCCCCCTGAGTCCTGTCCATGGGGCCAGCTGTATCCTTCAGCAAAGATGGACAAGTGCAAGAGGAGTTGTGGGCAAATGTGAAGGATCCTCAGGAACAGGGAGCACGGCCTGGGCGTGCTGTGTTCTTCCATGATCCTCTTCCCTGTCCTGTGGTTCCCTCAGGACAGATGGTGCTCCAGGGTATGAGGGGAGCTCCTTGGGGGAGTCTGCTTGCAGCTGTGGGCACAGGCAGGGCTATCCTAGCTTCTGTATCCTAGCTGGACCCTGCACTGGAGCTCCCCTGGCACTGCAGGAGTCATTCATCAGTCCTGACCGACTGCACAGCCTGAGGGCTGCTCCCAGGTTTGCTGGGGGCAAAATGCAACTTTGTTCTTTGCATTAAGGTCCAGAGTATCAAGATGGAGGGGCACAATCTTCTGTGGAGACGTCCAAAGTGCTGCATGAAATCCTGGGGGAGCTGAAGATGATTCTAGGAGGTGGGTACAGGTCACTCCTGAGCAGCACAACCGGGCAGCTGAGGTTTCAGGTGCATGTGGACCCCCCACCCACACTCAGACCTTCACTGAGGGACCCTCCATGGGGTACTGGTGAGCTGCAAGGGTGGTCCAGAGTCTGTACTGCCAGCTGAGTCCCTGGGACTGTGTTTGCCCCAGCCAGATCATCCCTGGCC